ACCAAACCATTCTATGATTCCATGATAGCATAGCTCCTTTGACGTGTGTCACCAACACTCCATATTGACCTGTTTTCAACTCTTATCTTTGTCTCCAAACTGAAGAGAACAGGGCTTCCACTCCCTTAAAACAGTAGAACAGTAACATCTTCTTAGATACTGCTGGAAGGTTTTGGCAGTATATCTCACGTTTTGGCTTTGGAAGGACAGGGTGGTGTTTGGAGAGGAGTGGCTGGTAGTGATCTTTCCATACCATACAACATTCACGCTGGAGTCAAGGTCTGTTGCTTGCACATGGGTCTACAATGACCTTTCTTACACACCTGAATCTACTACTAGTGTTGACAAGGAAAATAGGATTGAGGCATGTACAGTGCAGGGTTGTGTTTGATTGTACACGAGAAGAAGAACTGGAAGAAGCAGCCACCCCTTATCTGTACATTGTATGCAACTAGCAATCACAGCCAGGAGTAACAGAAAACCTCCATCTGACTGATGAAGGCTATGCCATAGACAAAAGTTATTTTAAAAATCCTATTGTCATTAACTTTATAAAATAAAGGGGGAGAAAAATCTGGCACTGCCTATAGAAGAAAACTTCCACAATTTGAATGAATAAGGAACAAGGGATTCATCATCCCCTATATGATTAGAAGTTTGCTTTTAGCTTCCATTTTTTTCTTTCCCAAACCAGACCTTATTAAAAATAAAACAAAGGCAAATTGCTCTTTGACGACTGTTCCAGTCTGTGTCAGTGATGTATATTGGGAAATGGGGCAAGGTCACATGACCTCTGTCCTCCGTATCTTTCAGATAATAATGCTATCTTTTAGAAAAGCGCTTAAGCTATGGTTGACAAGTGCTGTATGCCAGCTCTCTTATTACAAAACCTCAGTAAGGAAAAACCTGGGCACTCTGAAACCGTCTCAGATTATAGAAGGAAAGCAAATGGCACTTGCTTGCTGATACAGAAGTAATTCAGACCTACTATTTAACAGGAATTTGTGGTACACTTAGAAGTTTGACTGTAGCATTATGAACTGCAGAAAGTATAGAAGTTTTTATCTCTAGGGTCCTGTTCTTCTGTCAATGGTGATGAAAAGCACTGTGGATAGGGCAAAGCTATGCTGCAACATGTAATTCAAGAAGCATCTTGCTGTTTCAAGTTTTGCCTTTTTTTTTTTTCTCATGTTGGGGAAAGCATCATACTTAATGCTTTGCCAGGTTACTCAAGTTCAGTCACTTGCTCCTCAGAAGTTTCAGCTTGTTTTTTTTTTAACAATCTCCTCAACTTCCTCTACAATGTAAATGACCAAATAAAGGTAAAGCAGCAGGCTCTAAATGTAAAGTTCAGCTCCTAAAAAAGGATAAACTGGTTACTTAAAGTCAGGGCGAGTGTTTTCCTTTAGAAGCAACAGCTGGCTATAATTTCAGTTTTGGAACAAACAGTTACAGAATCGCTGATGAAAAGCCTTAAAGAGGCTTAAGGAGACGCTTAAATTTCTCGGCTTCTCTTTAGTTCTTGCAAATCTAGCAAATTCATCCTGTTTGATGCCACTGTCTTTCTGCAGACCTCTTGAAGAGGGTGAAGGGCTACGTAATGGAAGTTTCTGAAGTCCTATAAATCACGGGGTACAGTTAGATGATGTGGCTGAACTTAACCTAAATCTCTGCTATAAATAGGGCACAACTCTCCCTCCTGAAAAGTCTTGGATGCTTTCAGACCCCTTCCTGAGTGAACCCAAGTTGCTGAACAGGAAAGCAATTTTAATTTCTCACCCCCCACTGCCCAGAAATTTTTCATCTTGTAGAATACATCAGAATTTGGTTGCAAATGATCTGTCAAAGACTAATGACACTGTAGGATGGGGCCATATAGGAACTCCCCACTTTCACCATAGCACATCAGCTGGCTTCTTATTCAATGATACTCCAAAAGTTACAGTCCATAAGGAATCCTAGTGAATTTCAGTTTGCTGTTCTAAATTGATAGTGTCTTGATTCTCCCCCCTGTGAAGACACATCTGTCAAGTGTCCCTCCTTAAATACCTAGTGATGACAGAAGACGGAATTACACCATGGTAGAAAGAACAGAAATGCAGCAGGTAGGAAACAGTTTCCATGTTAAAGGATCTGTTAAGTGATAAAAAATACCAACAACTTTCTCCAGTGCTTATTACAGACTATTCAACTTAAAACACTTGACTTTTCCTTAATCTATCATGCTCCTTTTCCTGACAATGTATTTAACTTTGGCATTCTGTCTACCTCACATCCCTACATTTCCAATGATGCACTAACAGAACTGCAATAACCCTTGATAAAATGGTATTCTTGCCACATGACAAATGGATTTGCACTTGTGTTGCAGACAGAACCGACATGTGATTCATTTCTGTCAGAAAGCATAATGATTGGACTCAATTACCACAGAACTCTAGTCCATAGAATCATAGAATCATAGAATGGTTTGGGTTGGTCTCTAACTCCTCTTGTTTATTCCCCATGCTACATGCATTTGCATAGCGTCATTGAAGCTAAGCCTCCGCTGAAGCTGACTTACTGGCTGGAGTGGCTGGGATTCCTTTGTGCTGCTCTTCAGGTGCTCTGGCTGGCATTGGCCTCAAACTGGTAGGAGTGGGATGGACTGAGGTTCCCCTCCCCTGGCAACTTTAGTTTAAAGCCTTCTTCACCAGTTTGGCAAGCCTATGACCAAAGATGCTCTTCCCCTTCTCTGACAGAGGGACCCCATCAGCTCCCATCAGCCCAGGCTTCTCAAATCAAGTTCTATGGTCTAAGCCAAACCTCTGGCTATGGCACCAGTCCCGTAACCATTTGTTGATTTGCGAGATTTGACTGGCCCTTTCAAACCCCTTCCCTTTGACTGGGAGGATGGATGAAAAAATTACTCACACTGCAGAGTCCCTTACTGCCACTCCCAGGGCTCTGTAGGGCTCATAGGACCAAGCACTGTTCCCGTACTATCAGAGAAACACGTTTTCTCTGTTCACTGGATTTGCAACGATGGAGCATTATGCCATAAGCACCCCTAAGCAGGGCAAAAGACCATATATTAGCATGGATTTTTTTAAGAGTCTAAGGAGGAAGTCCCGTATCTTTGACAAGGAAATTTTTAAAGAAACTCTTAGGGTTTCTTACTTTCATTTTATACTCTGAAATCAGTAGCATTCAGAGAGACATCTCTGGACTTAATAGATGCTGTTTTCATTACAGATTTCATTCTTTGGCTGAATTATATTTCACTCTATTTTTATTTTTTCTTGTGACTGGGAGTAACTCAACTACTGAGGAGCTCAAAGCTTGCTGAGGTAGATAAAATAGACTTAAGCCCAACATATGTTCATCCCATCAGAAGAAAAATAAACTATTTAGTGTTCATGTGTTAGTAATAGCTGTATAAAATTGTGATGACTGCTCTACAGATAGGAGCCCGCTTCAGTGAGAGTGTGCTGTCTTTAATCAAGTATCCTTTTAATTTACAGTAAATGACCTCTTTGCCATTTCAAATGAGCAGTTAGGATAGACTCCTAGACTTCTTCAAGGAAGTCTGTTACAGACCTGCAGCTTACACATACTAACAATCCTGAGACACTGGTGGGTTGACTCTGGCTGGACAGCAGGTGCCCACCAAAGCCACTCTTTCACTCCCCCTCCTCAGTTGGATAGGGGAGAGAAAATATAACAAAAAGCTCATGGATCAAGATAAAGATGGAGAGATCAATTACTGTCACCAATTACTGTCACAGGCAAAACAGACTTGACTTGGGGAAATTAGTTTAATTTATTAACAATCAAATCAGAGTAGGATAATGAGAAATAAACCCAAATCTTAGCAACACCTTCCTGCCACCCCTCCCTTCTTTCTGAGCTTCAGTCCTGATTTTCTCTCCCTTCGCCCCTCCCATGGTGCAGGGGGACAGGGAATGGGGGTTGGGGTCAGTTCATCACACATTGTCTCTGCCACTCCTTCCTCCTCCTCCTCGGACTCCTCACACTCTTCCCCTGCTCCAGCCTGGGGTCCCTCCCACAGCAGACAGTCTTCCACAAACTTCTCCAACGTGAGTCCTTCCCACAGCTGCAATTCTTCACACACAGCTCCAGAGTGGGTCCCTTCCCCGGGGTGCAGCCCTTCAGGCACAGACAGCTCCATCCTGGGTCCCCCGGGGGGTCACAAGCCCGGCCAGCAAACCTGCTCCAGCCTGGGCTCCTCTCTCCATGGGGCCACAGGCCCTGCCAGGAGCCTGC